TGTCTATACTGCTGTGGTCTGCTCCTGTATGAACTGCACTTCTTTTACTTTATCTCCTGTGGCCTGTTGCCTTTAACGATGACCTCCTCCGTGCTAACAGCCCCGTACTGTACTCCCACTCTGAATACGAGCGAAAAGACGACGGCAAAGAAAGCAAAAGGACAAAAGCTTTGCTTCGAGAGGAATGCGATGCACAAATGTGACTCGACCCTTTTTCCATCAAATCGCTGAAAAAGCATTTCAGCCCGTGACAGGGTCCATTAATCTCTGTCTCAGATTGTCTTCTCTGTGTGCTAAGGACCATTTAGAATATTTAATAGAGCACAACACATACTACTGGCAGATGAAATGGTGTGTGTGTTGTCGGGGATTTTCGAGCACTGAGGGGAACATATTTAGTTGCCAGACATCATTAACCGACTTGTCATGTATCATATAGTTCAGCATTAACATGATACAAAAGGGCTCGTCACTATAATTGCGTTCTGCTCTCTGCTCCCGAGCTTATTAACAGAACACAGTGTCATGAAAAGCTGTAAGGTCAATTAGAAATGTACAGTGGCTCGACATTTCGTCACAGGTGGTTTCAAAGTGTCCGCGGGGAGAGGTGTAAATAGAGGAAGGTTGTGTGTTTGAGACAGATGAGAAATGTGAAAGAAGACGGGGAACCTGAAGAGGCACGGAGTTAGACAGCTAATTAAAATTTCGCTCACCACCCTAAAAGATCCTCGTCCTTCAGTTTGACCTCACCGAACAGAGTGTTACATATCAGGCTGTGATTGATGCTACAGAATGATGAAATTTATTCAGGGTATTGACTGAAATCACGTCAGGAAAGCCTGAAACTTCTGCAGCAGTCTGTTCATTATTGCATTCCCGCGTAAGAAGAAGTTGTGCAGGAAAAAGAGGCTGCTAAATGTTCATCAGCAACAGATGTTATCAAAGATGTGGTTTTGTAGTCGACACTAGTGTCAAGCTTCAGCGGTGTGTTTTGAGTTTTTAATAATAGTTTCCTACATTTTAAGTCATTTTGAGTTAGAGAAATGTAACTTAGCTAACACTTGTCTTTTGAGTAGTCAGTGTGTAAAACTAATAAATTAGCTGAGCATGAGAAAAGAGGTTGAAGAAACTTAAGATGTTAAGTTGAATCAACTTTGCACTCAGTGGATACAGACAGACTTGATTTCCTTTCGAAGTTCAGAGAGTTTCTTCTTTATTTAACAAGTATTTAAAAAAAACATGTCTGCTTTTACAAACTACAAAAACAAGAATCTAGCTCTCTAACAGTGCATCTTGGGAAGTCTGCTTGCATGTTAGTTTAGGTTAACCCTTTATAGAGCAGTCATTGAAATGTTTGGAAATGTAAAATTTCAACCCTGGAGTGTTATTGGTAGATATAAGAGGACATTTAGAATTTTTAAAAAAGTTTAGATTTAGGCTGCAAATCAAATTCAAAGCAGTATAAGATTCCTCATCCTCCAAGGGTATATAGAACAAAAATCCAAATCATATGTCCATAAATGATTATAAAATACAAATATAAGATGAAGGAGGGCTGCAAGGTGGCTCAGTGATTAGCACTGTTGCCTCGCAGCAAGGAGGTCGCTGGTTCGCGTCCCGGTGGGGCACCAGGATCTTTCTGTGTGGAGTCTCCATGTTCTCCCCGTGCAGCGTGGGTTCTCTCCAGGTTCTCCGGCTTCCTCCCACACAGTCCAAAAACATGTTGAGGTTAATTGGTGATTCTAAATTGTCTGTAGGTTTGAATGTGAGTGTGCTTGGTTGTCTGTCTCTAAGTGTAGCCCTGTGATAGACTGGTGACCTGTCCAGGTGAACCTGCCTTCACCCTGAGTCAGCTGGGATAGACTCCACGACCGTAGTGAGGATTAAGGTGTATAGATGATGGATGGATGGAAGATGAAAGAACATTTACCATATTTCCAGTTGACCAGTTATTATCACTCTGGCTTGTACATGATTGGTCAGAGGCCATAGTGACGGTGTTGTGATGTCGCCTGACCTCCACTGATTGGCTGGATGAAGTCACATGATTCTGCCCAATAAAAGGGTTAATCTATTGAGTTGAGTGAACTCTCAGATGTGCATTCATTCAACTTGTCATTTTAGGTCAAAATACCTCAAGTTTAAAACAAAATGACTCAAACTATTTACATTAAGTAAACTAGAAAAGAGCGTTAATTTGACTTATTAACTGTATGTTTTACTTTGGGCCGTGCTAAACTCATTTAATATTCATTTTAGTCCAGTGGCAGCTGAATTATCAATATATTAAAGTCTGATTTCTGAGCTGTTGGCATTCATTTATATTCAGTTTAATGCAAAGTTGAGGACTGCGCTGTAAAAGCAGAAAGAGCAGAGAATAGTAATGACAGCCGCCATGCGTCACTCAGCCTCCCAGTATAGGTAGTTTATTGTCCACTTTCACTCACCAACGCCAAACCAGCAGCCCACAAACACAAAACAGAGAACGAGTTGTTCCGCTTTGTCAGAGGAGAAGGACGTCTGAACAGGCGGCCGGTGTTCTTCTTCCTCTGCCCGCTAACTGGAGCACAGCTCAGCGGTGCAGCGCGGTGCTGGTAGTGGACAGTGTTAGGACGGTTACAGTTCAACTTGTTCCTGTAAGTACCGCAGCTTCAACCTCAAGAGGACAATTCAAGTTTCTATCTCTGTTCAGCCTGTAAAAGGTAACGTTAAGTTAATAGCTAAGATAATTGTTTCTATACCTGTTTAGCTCATATGTGGTGTGTAGCAGTCAAGAAAGATATATGATATTGAAAACTATCAGGTGCTAGCTTGTCCATGTTTGTTTGGAATAGACACTTTAAATGAGTGAGTTAACTTCGTCTGCTTTGTTAGCGACTGTAATTCCTGTGGTCATTTTAGTACTTTGCACAAATTATGTTTTAATTTTCATTTTAATGTACTCAAGGGAAATGCTTGCACCATTAAAAATAGGATACTTCATCAACAGCAGCTAAATTTGAAGTCAGTTTGGCTAACGTTAGCTAATAAGCTAATTAGCCTGCCGCGACACAGCAATATATAATTACTTTTTTTTTTTTTTTTTACATTTACCCTTAATATAGTACCTGTTGCTGTTTTTTCCTTTTGTGTGTGTAGTTTTGTCCATGATTTGCCCGTTAAAATATATTGTAGTTGATGAACACGGTGAAAAAGTAGCAACACTAGCCGCTTGTTTGTTAATGCAGTTATACGTTAGCATTTGGCTAGCTAAGGAGAAGTTAGCCTGAATGGAAATGAATAATTGTTGTTACATGTTAAATGAACTTCAGTGGAGTTATAGTACGTATCTTTGTGTTTATATCAGTTTGTGTGAACATAATATTTACCTTTAGGGCTACATGCTACAGGTGGTTTTGAGTTTTGGGACTATTGTGCTTCTGTTGGACTAGTAGCCAGAATACATTCAAGATACACATTTAGGTGTTTATTTTACTACATTTTGTGTGTTTTGAACACTGCCCTATCGATAAATGTAAGTAATCAGCAGGGGAAGTTTCATGGTGATATCAAATGTTTCCTTGTAAATTGTGGTTTTCAGTAAAATGTTTTGATTTTTGCTAAATGAGTTTTTTCTCACACATAAACCAACAGAAGTTTTATTTTTTATTTTTTGTCTTCATACATTAGTCATAGTCAGATTTATTAACATTCTATTCTAAAACAAAAACATCTGACTGTTGACAGTATTTTGTGATTCATGGGGTGATTAAAATAATATCCACTAAAACATTTTGATCTAATATGTCAACAAAATGAAAGAAAAAAATTGGTGGCTGACTTTATCCTGAGTTCAGATCTTTGTTCTGGAAATGAATACAAATGAGTTTGGCATTTCATTTTTTTTATATATATATATATAAAATCCTCATTTGCATTTTAAACAACACTTCGGTAAACACTTAATATAAAACTATTTATTCTACATGATCAACTAGGGACATGTAATGGTGATATGTGTTAGTTTAAATGTGTCCCCTGTTCACCTGTAGTGTCTTGCTGTAAAGCACATTATAAACCTTTGATGCTACAGTGAACAGTTGTGTATCTTGCTCCAAATCATCGGTCTTAGAAGAAAAAAAAGATAATTGGGCATGTTTTAAGTCTTGACTGGGAATACTAAAAGACATTCTCACTCAGTTTTTTAATGATTAATGCATAAAAGATTTAAGCTGAATTACATTTTTCTTGCCTGTTGTTGACAGTCTCCCAGCCTTTGAGTGCTACAAGCTAAATAATAATATATGTCTGGTTGAGAGGCTGGCTTTGAAAAGAGGCTCTGTTTATTTCTAACAAGCAGTGAGACATACTCACATGGTTTGGGAGTCATACGGCTCACACGCAGAATGTTTGCGCAACAGCCCCGCCACCTTTAACTTTTCATTGTTTACAGGATGTACACATCATTAAATGCATATCTTTGTCCAAAAACCGCTCTACACGTAGCTTAACTACTTCCTGTCAAACATGAATGGAGAGGCCGGCCTGTAGCGGAGCAGCATTACAGTAATTCCCATCTCTGTGAATGACTAACTCTGACTGGTGCTGTGGGCATTTCCTTCGCCTCTGCCTCGTGTGTTGTGTGTTTTGGGGTTTTCCCTTCAAACGATGCCACCACAAAATTGTTTGTGAAAGTTTTTCGGGCCGTTTTAAGTTAGCGGCCCTATTAAAGGATTTAGAAATGTTATTGGCTTAGTCATACGCATGTGGTGAGAAACATGTGCGAGCCATCATGTGAAAAAATCAGAGAAATGTGCCCTGGCATGCTACAGTATTTACCATGTTCCTCTGGGTTTCTCTTCCTGGGTATGTCTTTCTCTCTCTGCTTTAATCTGAATGACTCTCTTCATTCGCATTATTACATTAAGACACGGATTGAGGAAATTCCAGCAGGACACTGGACTCATTCCTCATCTAACTGTGTTAACAGTGTGTCCTTCGTGTTTCTGCTCTCTCCTCAGTCTCACAGCACGATATGCAAGTCCGCCGGGCCACAGTGGAATAGGGTCGCCACAGAAGAAAAACACAAGGTAAATATGGCACTTCACACTTCATGTAACTCTTTTTTTCATTATGTGTTGTTCTTCTCAGGGGGATTTCATATTTTATAGCGCTTACGTTTTACACCTGTGCCTTCACACATTTGTCCAATGTTTTCATGATGCTGTGTGATCACCACAGGGAGGTCAGAGGTCACGGTCATATAGAAAAAAATTGATATGGATTCAGTGTTTTGCTCCAGGATTCTTCAGCACAGTGCAGCAGCTTAAACACAGCAGCATGAGCCAGCGTTTCAGTGTGAAGGGACAGCCTCTCTAATGTGCTAGAAGTTCATTGTGCCGTTTGCCAAGTGATACAGCCTACTTAAACATGCCCTTTCCAATTCTGGTCTGTCGTGTGTCAGATGTTTTCTGGGACAAATTTTGTATTCCGCTGCTTGTGCATCATAGAGTGGCTGCACTCACTAGCGGTGAGGCTGGTGCCGTCAAACAGGAACATATACAGCATAACTGTAAAGGTGCTTGTTAAGAGTTTGCTTCTAACCCTGTGTGAGTGTTGCATGAGTAAGTAAATGTTGACTGTACAGTTAATATCTTGAATGACTCACGAGAGGTGTGTTGAAAACGGGGCAATCATCGCTGTATGCATAAAGAAAAACAACATTTACCTGCATAAACACAGAACCGAGTCCTTTGCTCCAAAGGTTTGCTAGTGTCACAAAGAACAGAGGCTGAAGGATAGCTTGCAAAGTTTTCACCAAGGTGCTTGAGCTTGAAGTCTGTTCATCTCTGTCCTCAGTCCGGTGTTTTTGCTACGTGAGAAGTGTTGTTTAGTGTAATGTGTCCCTTTGGGGTACACGTCTTGACAAAGAAGCTGTTTCTAAACAAACTGCTCGCCATTATAATGACACTCTTTGTCTTGCTAAGCTTTAGGCTGTAGCTCGCTGTCAGGGGACCCATAACTAATGTTAAGGTGTCACATGTGAGATCCCATCACATGCAGCTGTAACCGTAACTGTTCAGGGTCTGACACATGCACAGATATGAGCACTAGCACAGGTACACACCTATACATAACCAAAGCACACTTATAAAACACATTGCTGCACACATGTTTAAGGCCGTTTTACCTGCCGAGGGAGTTTTCACACGTCCTGGTGATTACAGTTCACATCCCCCCCTCGTGAACTCATAGTTCAGTGTTCCAGCTGCAAACATCACACCCTCAGTCTCTGATCATCATCTCAGGAGACTTTAATCATACATCGCTCTCTACCACTCTGCCCACATTCAGCCAGTGTGTGGACTGCCCAACCGGAGACAGTGGGGCCTTGGACCTGCTGTATGCGCACACCAGGATGCATATTACTGAGTTATTGTTATTTTCTTGTACTTTCTTTCTATGTTTTTGGGTGCTGCTGTGGCGGGTAAATTTCCCAGGTCTGGGATAAATAAAGTCTATTCTATTCTATTCTATTCTATTCTATTCTATTCTATGAAACATACACTCCGAAGTCCATATGCATAGACTGCATGCACACACACCCCAGTTCAGCTGTCTGATGCTTGCCGCATTTGTTCCAGCTCAGAGGCAGTGGGAACCAGCGTGTTGGCAAATAATTCCTCTCCAGCCGCCACTGAGCAATGGCAAAAATGCTGCAGCCAGCAGCTTCAGCCCTATGGGTGGTAATCTGCCCTCTCACATCACTGACAACAAACCTCGCCGCTGCTCTGCAGAAACAGCTCTTTAATTCCTACACACAGATGAAGATACACATGCACAACACAAACAAATCACTTGCATTAGGGGTCAGTGAGCGGTGACAGTGCGAGCGCTTCACTGTTGCCATCTGATTTTCATTCACACAAGCCTGATTACCAGATTTAATTGCTTTTCTTGCCATCTGAGAAGTTATTTTTAATCACCACGAGCCGTCTCCTCTGCTATCCCTGAAGCAAGAAAGTTTTAGCTATTCTAAAATGGAAATAAATTGATGTCTCTCTTGCATACGATACTGTGCTGAATGCAGTGAAGAGTATTTCCCTCAAGGTGCTGGAGTTTTAGATATTTTCTTAGCGCTTATGAGGCATTCTCCTCGTTAGCTGAAGCTAAAGGAACAACAGCAGCCACTGCCCTTTTCTCTTGCGCAGTCACTCATACAAATTGTTTCCATTTTTTTGAACAGGGCGGGGTTGTGGGGGACACACTTTGCTTTGATGAGGATGCCTGACCAGAATTTTAATTAGAGAGCTTTACAGTTTGAATAGACTGATCCAAACACCCCTGGTTTATGCAACCGAACACTGCCAGGCTTAGACGCTTTGACTCCACCTGGGCTCACCCACGCTCAGCGCTGATGTGTGTCATCCTGGCACTGCAGTACGACTCACCTGTGCTGTGCGATGCTACCTCAGATTTTACCTCGAAAACTGTTGATTGACATGACTTCTTTAACTTCAGATCATGTGTTTTGTATTTACTAACCACTTTTGAATTCCTGCCATGCATTTTTATATTTTTTTGAACATGCATTTCAGTACCAAACAACCACCAACTGCTTTAGCACTTTACTTGTTTAATCCATCACAGTAAACATCCAGTCTACACTCGTATTTGTCAGTGTTTTGAGACCTTCAGTAGTTCTGCTTTTTAATAAATAGAGAAATTAATTAAAATGTCGATGTACTGGAGCACATCAATAGTACGCTGACAGTTACAAAACGCAGAAGCATGGTTTAGGAAATGAATGCCTTCGATGTAAAGTAGTGTGTCTGTGTTTTGTAGGAAATGTTGGTATGGTATGGCTCATAAAGTTCATCATCTTAGCAGCAGGGGGTGATGTTTGACAGTTTGTTGGCCACCTGCCTGCTCGTGGCATTCCTCTACTGTTATGATAAGCCTGATGTGGCTTTGACTGATGGACTGGATGCCAGATGTGCTAGCCCAGATCCCATACACTCTGGCAAACAGAAGATGGTCTTGTAAGAGCTAGGCATGAGATAAGGGAATTGCCGGGTTGAATTCCCAGACTCATCTTGGCAGGGAAAATGAACAGCGCTCTCTAGTCTCTAAGACATATTGTGAATAGCCAGTGGCCAGCTGGCCTCACTGCCTCACCTATAGCAGGTTGCAGGTCTGTCCATCCTGCAACAAAATCACTGTCCAGCAATTGCATCGCATTTCCCTCTCCAGTTCCATTTTGCTGATGCATTATCAAACATGTATTTTGGAAGATGAAAGAATCTTGTGATAAAAGGGACTACCTCTGATTTCCATCTGAATTGCCTCAATCTCTCCCTCATTTCCCACTGTTTATCTCTCATTTCCTCTCGTCTGGGTTTGCAGCTACAGTGTCTTCGTCCTCTGATTACCACCCCCTGTGCATTTTTCTTCTCTCTTTTCTCTCATGTCTTTCTTTTGTTCCTTTTCGTCCTCTTCAATCTTCTTTCTTTTAATTCCTTTATCTATCAATCTCCTCTATTCCTTTGCTTGCTGACAGAATTTAGGAACGCTTCCAGCACCAAAGCCACTGTTAACAATGCCGTTGCCCGTGTATGTGTGTGTTGTTCATCACTGAGGTGTTTTGTTTTTTTTTTCGTTCTGTTTTGTTATATTTCATCAGCATTCAAAGACTCCCTGCAATTTCTTTGCTCTCTCTTCTTCTCTCTGGCTCTGTTTTATGTGTTGGCTATACTGTACTTGTCCATCTGTTTCAGCCCAGTGAATGGCAGCTTCAGCTCTGGGCTGAGGACCACCTCTGGCTGCAGCTCAATGGGTTCACTCAGGCAGAGCACCAGAGTTGCTCTCAGGCCTGGATAAGCATCTCTGAGCAGTCTGCTGTTGTTGCCACTGTTGATGAACAGTAGGATATGAAAATAGGATGCTATTAATTCAAAGAAACCGAGAGTAAGGAGACGGCACATTTCCTTTTTCTTGATGTCAGGCTTTTGCACTGGAGCAGATTTTGCTTTTGCACCATTGTCTGTATAAAAACAAACTTTGCATGGCTCAGCACATGAGCTGACATATTAGAGAGTTTTGCTTTGATATCCTGCTGCGCCTTGTTCTATTTTTACAAGGGAGACACCCAAATAAACTAGAATTTTTCCAATTAGATACCATTGATGTCCCTCTGCTGCAATAATAGAAGTGCTGAATTTTTATAGAATGCTTTCTGTGTTTCTTGTTGCGTCAGAAATTGCAGCAGATGCTTAGTTAGGTTGAAAAGCCCTGGGGCTTCAAGCCTAATTTGCTTTACTCATACCAGTAAGTGGAGCTGCCTTCCCTAGCAAATCAAAAGCTGTCCTACTGAAGTGATGTTAAAGGATGAACTGGGAGCATTACTTATTCTAGCAGCGTTTTTTTCTTACCTTCAGGTTGCTTATGGCCATTATATGGTATGCACCTGAACCACATAGCTATCAGGATGCCTGAATGTGATCCACAACATAGAAATGCTTAGTTCACAACATCTTTTTTTTATAATATTTTGAGAATCAAATCCAATCAGGGCATCGTAGGAAACTAGATTTTTAAATATATATGAACATCCAGTACGAAGCCAAATAGGTTTGCACGGTGCTAAATGAGTCTCTCAGTGAATCTTTTCTGTATTTTGCAGTATAACAAAGTTTTACGTCTAGTGGCTGTGGCTCAGCAGGTTGTCCACTGATCGCAAGGTTGGTGGTTTAATCCCACCGTGTGCCAAAGAGTCCTTGGAGACACTGAACTCCAAGTTGCACCTTGCATGGAAGCTTTGTCGCCAATGGCGTGTGAATGTGTGTGTGAATGGGTGAATGAGAAACATATTGTAAAGCACTTTGAGTACCACTAAGGGAGAAAGGTGCTTTAAAAGTGCAGAGCATTTACCATTTAAATCAGACTGACCTGGAATGATTGGTTTGCCAGAGCGGAAGAGGAGGGCGAACGTAGTGTTGAAGACAGACTACAACATGTATGGTGGAGTCCATGGAGGAAACACTAAGGAAGAGTCCAAAAAAAGTTTTAGATGTTTTAGATTAAAAAAAAGACACTGAGCATTCAGGAAGGATTGTTGTCTGGAAAAGAAATCTTTGAAAGCAACAGCATAAGCACACGTCAATGAATGTGTAATTAATCTCGCTGGCAGAAGAGGGAGACAAAAGCTCCACATAGTAAGTTTAGAAACAGAAACCTACTTCTTTTCGCAGATAAGGATGAGCTATGATATCCATTACAAGAGGAACTTGTCATTTTATAGTCTGGCTCCATTCACAGTACTTCACATAGAAGAGAATACGTCACCTTGTTTGTCACAGGATAATTGCAGGATGGACTGTCAACCCATGTTCAATTTCGGTTATGTCGGCTTTTCCTCAGTATGAAATATATTCCAGATCCATGTGGTTCCAAACGGCACATCCCCAGCTTTTCATTTGGCTCCACTACTGACCCAAGCTAGAGCTTTAAAGAGACACTCGAGGGGAATAAAACACCAAGAAAGTGTTGTTACCCGACCAGATATTTCAGGTATCGATTTGGTCACCCAGTGGTTTTCCTGACCGATTGTCTGGTGCCCTGCCATTGACTTATTTCGTCTCACACTTGCAGAGTCAGTGTGACAAATCAAAATCAAATCGAGTTGACTCAGCTCTAATGCAGGAAGTATTGAGTGAGAGAGAACTGAAGTTTGTCTTTTCCAGATGAGGTCCATCAGAGCTGCCATCACAGTTGTGTGCCAAAGGAATAAAAGAGCACTGGAAGCAGCATAGAAAGATATTTCTTAATAAACAGAAGGTTTATTATCCGTGCAACATGTCAATCTGTCCTCTATTTTTATACAGATCTCAAAGACAAAATGGAATATATGAAATATGTTTTTTCCTGCTGAGGGGTTTTGACCACTGCAGGATTCCAAACCTTAAAAAAAAAAACTTTCCCCTCCGACATCTCGGCTCCATCTGCGATACAGACGTAGTGACATACTCAGCATAGCGAATCGATTATCTTTGTGAAGGGACATCACGACAGCTCTCAAGCTGAGAAACAGACATAAAGTTGTTAGGATCTATAGTTTTCTCTCTTTCCCCAGAATATCGACAAAGACAAGCAACGGATGGAAACACACCCCCTACCCTTGTCAGTATTACCTGTTCTACCTGCCACAACCTGACTGCTGTCGCTCTTTAAGTTAGTTGCGAGCTGTACGTTCCAAAGAGTTTTTGAGATTTGCTCCGCTGCTTTTTTGTCCATTATTAGGCATTCAATTTGATTAGAATTGACTCTGCCTGGATGCAATCTCGTCTCAATATGCAAACCACCAATCTAATGTGATTGTGAGGGAGAAAGCAATTATGTATAAGGCGTGAAATGTGATCTTTGGAATCAGTCCATAAATATCACTTCAAGGCGTAGTTAGGATTAATGGTAGAAATAGATCCAAGTTGTCATAAATCCTGTCATGATCCTTCAGCCAGCTGCCAAAATTGTTTTTGAAGAAACTTAATAACAAACAGATGATGAAAGCATCTGGCAAAGTCCATAAACAACGCAGTGTTAAGTTATTGTTCAAAAACAACAGGTTTTTGATGAGATAATTCTTTTAACGCTCTCCTGGGAGTTGTGAAAATCCTCCAGCTGCAGCATGGCAAATCAACATTTGACACTGGCAGCTTTGACTGCGTCAAGAGAAAAAAAATATTATGCAAAAGTGAATAAGAATAAGAGAGTAGAGAGACTGACTAAAAACTGGTGGATGTGTCTGCAAGCATTTGTTTCTCTGCACAGTATCAGCAGAAGACGTACTTGTTGTATATGATGCATATAGCAGGGTGAGGCATAATATGTAATACTTTTTTATACAATGATAGACGCTGACAGATCTCAATCAACCTGTCAAGAAGAAAAATCTCTGTGCTGTCTATCACATACTTTTACCTAAACTCAGTTCATCTCTTATCCTTCCTGCTCAACCCACAAGGGAACACACACTTCCTCTCAAACAGCACCCTTGATCTCTCTTCATCGTACACACTCACACATATTGAGTCCAGGGTCAACATTCATGACACGATAGCAGGACTCTTTTAACTAAAAGTGAGTTCTTATTGTCTGTACTGTCTGTAGTCTCAGGATACATCTTATCTGTCCTTTTTGAGTCCACAGTGGCACTTTTTTCACTCCCAGCAGAGTTTCACACCATCCAGGGTTCAAATGTTAGGATAACTTCACTGTCTTTCGAATCTATCTCAGACTCAAATTCCCACATGCGCACTGAACGTTATAGTTTATGATGTTGTCCATACTTTTTCAGGCTTTTTCAGTGGACGGGATGGCCATGCAGCTGATCTTAGTTAAACACATCAGCTGGATATCTTCCAGAGCTACACTCTTTTTAGTGACACGGTCCTACTTTGTGTTGCTCTGCCTGAACTGTTCACAGAAAGAAGAAAAATGTTATTAAGAAGATTACTTCAGCTTTACTTTAGAATGTAGTTTTTACTGCTAAAGGCATGTAGGAGTTTGTTCCTCATTACTTTGGTAAAGGATCTCTTCACAGCTAGTGTGGAGAATCATTACAGAAACCAAACGTTGTTGTAAGCACATATTGGGGAAAATTAGACTTGTAAAAATGTGAATCCATCCGTAAAAACTTGAAGAATTACATCGATTTTTTTCATTGAAAATGAGCTTTTAACCTTGTCTGAGGTAAACACCGTTTTAAAGGCGTAGATAATTTACATCTCAGGTGACTGGAAACAAGCACAATGCTTCTGGCTCTGTGATGTTATCCTGAATAACAAATTTATGCTCTTTCCACTGACTTTTACTTGACACAAGGTACATTTTCTTGAGCTGAACCTCTATTGTGTCCCGTCAACATCTGAATCCTGTGCTCTACTCCATCTCCTGCAGGTTACCAGGGCCCTCCAGAGTACCTGCTGCAGGCAGCGGGGCCTCCAGGAGCCCAGGCTCATCCAACCTCAACCGTCGGAGCCAGAGCTTCAACAGCATCGACAAGAGCAAGCCTCTTCAGTATGCCAGCGGCAACGATAGAGGTGAGGAGTATTTATGATCACAATACACTCACACAGAAACAGACTTTTTACAGTTTGTTTTGTGTTAGTTAGAGCTTGATTGGCAGCAGATGCACCTATTTTTTACCTTCTCCACGTCGGCCACTTGATGGCACCACTCACACAACACAATTCCAGCAAGCAAAGGCTGCAGAGAAGCCCAGTCCCTCATTCCACCAATCTTTACCAGTCTGCTGAATCACCCCCAGCTTTTTTATTCCAAGTGAGTTATAATGGATGCCATTAAGTGGAGGCGGCGAAAAATTTTCACAGCGTGGCTAGAGCCATTTGAGAGATGACCAGAGGGGCAAATTCAGGCAGCTGCTCTGTCAAGCATGATCAAGCTAATGAAAGTGAATTATGTTTCTGAGTAAAGGATCTTCTAGTGGCTGGGAGTTAGAAAGTATGACATACCATTCAATCCAAAATTGATTATTCAGGGGAAAAAAACAAACAAAAAAACCAGAGTTGTTTTATTTATTTAGTGGTTTTAACAGCTTCTTTCTGATGTGATGAGTAAATATATCGACTCACAATGTTTTAATTACAGATTTTTCTTTTCTCTTGGCTCCCTGACTGTATTTATAATAACTTTAAGATTTCCCCGTGGCTCATTCAGAAGATTTATCGTGACTTACTGGCTCGCACAGTGCTAATAATTAAAACCTCTCTCATGGCTCACCCTGATTATGATAATCAGAAACATTCCTGATAACACGATGACAAACCTTTTGCTGTGGCTGAAGTGTTTTCTGAGGTTTTGCTTTAAATCTCAATGTATTGCACGATCACTGATGAAAACAAACTGTAGGTTTTAGTCTTTGGAGGTAGGAGAGCATCAGTAGGTGGTCGTGGCAGTGGAGGGGAGACACAGTGAATGGATCAGACAGAGAGAGCAGTAAAATGCCCTCAGCAAACAGTCATACACTCTTTCAATCCTACAAGTTCACATCTGCACTCACTCTTTTGATTTCTGTCTGAAACGTCAAACTTGTCAGTGGGAGATTGAGGGAATGTGTGGCGAAAGATGATGATCGGAGGGCAGTGGAAGGGTGGACAAGTGAGTGTGTGATCGGGGGTAGTTCGTAGCTGAAAAGACAGAAGTTATTGTGAAACTGACATATCGTATTACCCTTGCGATTTGCTTAAATATCATGTCTTTTGCTTAGGTTTATCAGGTTGCAGTTGATAACTTTGTCTCAGCTTTGTTTCGTGGAAATAGCACGAGGCTCCATTAAAGGTCGAATACTGCGTGTCTTCTTCCGGACGATTCGCATTGCGTGGCTGAGTCCTGCCAGAAGACAAACCCTCAGTTCGCAGAGATAAGACACCAGGCGTTGGAGCTTCACTGCAGGGGAGATGAAACAGTATTTTGGTCTAAAAAAAAAAAAAAGAGAGAAAAAAAAAGAAAAATCAATTGTTGGGAAATGTCAGCTATGCAGCCAGAACCTTCTGGGCAAAAACAGGTAGCAGAGACAGCAGCAGACAGAGAAACAGATAGAGAAAGTGTCTGCCACAAGCCATCTTATACATCTTCTGGAGTCTTACAGCAAGTTTCATTTTCTGCTGTCATATTACACGTTCCCTGTTTAATCTTAAATCCTTTTATCTTTTCTATTTGTGACTTTACAAAGCTTTTTCTTATTTTTGTTTTACATGCTTTTGCTGTGCATGCATCACTTTCTGTCACTCTTTTTTTCAGATTAGAAATGTAAACAGATATATTAACCCATTATGAGCAGATTAACAGCATCTAGGTTTGTGTTGTCATGTTCGTCTCACCCTCTCAGATGTTGCACAGATGTTGTTTCACCTACTGATCTGATAGTTAAGCATGGGCGTGGTGTGTGAATTGACAGAAGAAGAAGTTTTTGTCATTAGATTTTTCACATTTGTCAGAGTTTTTTATGTGATTGTCTGGACACATAGCTAGAATATGGTGTCGTTTTCTATGTTTTCAGGTTCACTTGTAGGACCCACCTACTTCCAAATACAGACATTAAACATTTTTGTTATGACGTGAAGTAGGAGTGACTTCATGTGACTGATGCCGGCAATGAAAGCCATGTTTTTGTTTGCGTACATCACTTTTTATAGGCATCTGTGACCTCTTGGGGATGACGTGAGCCCATTAGAGTCTTGTTTTGTTTCTCTGCTCACAAACAGTGAAGCTCTGACCAGAGAGCGCTTAAAGGGCACAAAGAGCATTGCATCACTCTTGTTGCCATGCAACTATCTAATTAGCTTCAACCAGCTAAATTGAAGCATAAGGGGGTGTGTTTTTTTTTGTTTTTTTTAAATAAAATTTTATTAAAGAAAGTTGCTTTGCTTGTTGTTTCAGATGAGGATGAGGAAACTCTTGTTAAATTGAATTGGGAAACTGCTAACGTGTTAACTGTTGGACACTGATGTAATGTGACGACGAGCTAAAGTTGAAAAGTGTCCATGTGGAGTACGAAAAATTGTCCCCAAAAAATAGCTGCAGAATATGGAAGGAAACTTTTTTCATATGTAGCTGCAGGTTGTAACTGGCCAGTGTTCATCAGTGTTGGTCCAGATGTGTGTCCTTTCAAACATGCGTATTCACTAAAACCCAGGCATTAATGCTTCTGGGTTTCTGTGAAGAATCTGGCGTGTAGTCGTATGTGTGCGTTTGTATTTGTTAGCAGAGGGTCCACCACCGCCCAGAAGAAGTGGCATTTCATTTCTGGGCCGCTGAGGCAAAAAAAAAAAACGAAAGGGAAGAGTCTGTTGCCACGGCAACGGCAAGTCACTGCACGATGAAAAGTGTGGTGGTGCTGTGAAACTGCCTCTGGGGTGGTGATGGAGGAGCGGGGAGGAGGAAAGGGGGATCTCCAAAGACGGGGTTAATTGACTGGACACGCAGGCAGAGACAATCAGACAAATGCTTGTAATCTCTTTCATTCACATTCATAAACTCTCTCCAACGATGAGGGGTAGCATAGAGGACATTTGGAATCACACATGATATGCTCTCTGATTAACATTTATGCCAGAGTCACGTGGCCGCCCAGCCACACCAAGAAATACAAAAAATGATAAATGTGGGTGCTATTTTGTTGCACTAGTTGACTCGTAAGTGCACCTGATGCGGGTCTAACCAACATTTACCTCTGCTGGTCTCATCTAAGATCTGAGCCTTCTGTATTCTGACTTATCTCAGCTTTCTAACCTGCTACCTCACGATAGGAAAACAGGCTGGCTGCCAGTTCATTGCCCTTTTAAATAAGCAGAAATGGGCAAAGACACGAAGAGGTTCTAATGTTGTGCAAATATGCTTTCACACAACCCACCAACACATTCAGAGCAGCTCCATGCACATTTCTGTGTATGCAGCTGCTTATGCTTGCATATTAAAAATTTACATATGCTTTGCTAGCTCATACACACCCTCTTAAACACACACACACACACACACTCTAATTAGATAAGTAATTAGAGTCAGTCTTCTCATCTGAATAAATTTTATTGGTTAAATAGTCTCTCAGCCGGCAGGTTGTTTACCTAGGCACGTGTTATTAAACAATGAGCATTTAGGTGGCACATTCAATAATTTAAAACAGCACAAAACACCTCAGTCTAAATGGAAACTCTCCATCAACTCAGAGCCATGTGGAAGCCCTTTTGTGCCTGAGGTAACGTCGAAACAACATGCAGAAACATTCAGTGGCTAAGTGTTCAATTACTTTTGAATCCTGGAAATGTGCGCATAATGTGTTGATAGCGCCATGTATCCCACACATGGACTTCTATATTGATGTAAATCTACTCAAATTAAAGCTGGGACCTGGCCACATATTGGGCATTTCACAGCCACTTACAGCCAGATTACATTTTAAACAAAGCTATGTAAAGAGAGTCTCTGTTGTAACCTCGATGCATTTTACGAAGTGCACTGAGGTGTTTTAAGGCATGGTGTAAGGTTTTAGAGGATGTTGTCAGAAGCGTAAGCCGGTTAAAGTGTCTCGGCCCAACCGCAGTCGAATCTGAACCCTCCTACTCCGCCTGCATGAAGGGGCTTTAAACTGCAGGCTGGAGGTGACTCACAGCCGGCTGAACCCTGCTCACTGTGCCGAATGACAGCCAGACAGACACTCAGTCAAATGGTGCATAACATAACGCACTCCATTCCCTCTTTATTTCTGCCCAATCATAATTCTACCTCTTTCCTTTTTTTCCCTCCTCTATTTATCTTCTTCTGTCTGAAAGTAGCTCAAAGTCATATCCAGAGGGAGATGAAGTTTTGTCTTCCTGCGCCTGCCTGAAGCAAATATCTGTCAAGTTGTGGATTTTGTACTGTGTGCGTAAGGGAAAGGTGGAGAGAGCGATGGGAGGAGAAGTGCTTTATGGTCTGTGGAGGTTGTGTAAAGGTCAATACTCAGTGGCTGAAGCTAAAACATTTTTGTACATGCATGAAGGGTGTTTACGTGCTCCGTGAGATTGCGTGCGGCTTGGCTGTTATCATGGCTGTTACGTTTGCCAAGCATAGCTTGACTGAAAATGTGGTAGAAGTAAACACCTTTGCATTGCATCGTGTGAGTGAAACACCCTTGCTACTGCTTCTCAGGTTGTGGAGGAAACGAGGAGGGGCAAAGAAGAGTTGGAAAATGTTAAATAACTTCTGAAAAGTTATTGATGATCAAAGTCAGATGAGGTTTAGCAGTAAATCCGGTGGATCATTTTCAGACGAGGTCAAAACTCAGGTTGTTGTAGATGATTTTGTTCTAAAGGTCATTCTCTTCTTGTTAATAAAGCTGGTGTGATTTTGTTTGTTGTCATGGCTACGACATGCTGGACTGTCCCTCATAACCACTATTATATTGTACGAATGCAAACATGCTGTGACAGGCCATTAGGAGGTATAAATCAGGGGGTGGAAGCACTACTGAGAGCAAACTCCTTTGAGATTGCAGTGTAATAATAACAGTGAAATCTTTTCTTTTGACCTCGCTCTCTGCTGATATTATGTCAGCTGAGAATAAGCGCTCTCTGTTGTTTTTTTTATTTAACTTAACACACCATTGAAATCATGTGAAAGTTTTTCATTTTTACTTGACTTTTGAGCTCAAAGTGTGTAAAACCACAAAGGAAGACAGCAGGAAGGCAGTAAAGCACTATGATTCAATATCTCCTGTCAGATAACTCTAGGAAGCCTGTGAGAGTTTGTTATTATTTGAACTCATAATTTTCCTGGAAAAAACACACCTGTCAGAGCCACTACAATGACTATTACTGCTATATCAAAAGTAGAAAATTAGATATCATGCATGAACGAACAACAGGATTAAAACGAATTGCCGTACATTTCTCACACGTCGAAATGTCATTCCCTATAAAATATTGCAATGTACAGCGTATGTGAGTGTTTCTCCAACTTTAAATGAATTCTCTGTCATTTGTATTTTGAGTGATGTTTTGTTTATGAATGCATACTGTTCTGTAGAGACTAAAATATTCCAGAAAGGCAAGTTGTGTTTCATCATACAAAACACCATCTTTTAATCTGTTCAGTCAGTGGCTCAGTTATTTGAATTGGAACTTTGGATCTCTAACTGTAATTTGTCAAATATCCATTTTACTGATCATCCTGTGTGTCTCTCTGTCTCCTCTCTCCTTGTTCAGAGGCGGTGAGGGGCATCCCGGTACCCAGCGGGATGAATGGGAGTGGCATCGTCGGGATGGTTCCCACCAGCCTCAGTGGGCAGCAGCTGGCCTCTGCCATCCCTTCACCCACAGCTGGCAAGTCGTGGCGCAGCAAGTCCATGAACCTCAAGCACAGCGCAACTTCATCCATGCTGGCAAGCCCTACACACACACCTTCCACCACCCCATCACCTCAGGCCCCGGAAGGCCTTCTGCCACATGGAGGCGATGGGTCAAAAGTAGGCTCAGGTGTTGCACCTCCTCAGAGGTCAATGTTAGAGAAGTTCCGCCTCATTAACCCCAGATCCGCTTCAAGAGCATCTCCATCTATGGCGGAAATGGCTCTGCAGGAAGAAGATGACCTGTCGGAGTATGGTGAAGATGGATTGACGCCCACGGGGTCAGTGTGCAGCAGTGGCAGTAGCAGTGCTACAGCCAAACAGATGCCAACAAAGACCCCTGCATCATCCCTCACTGCACCGAGCAAAACGTCCTCATCCTCCTCTTCATTCTCAAAAGCTTCTGCAAATGGCAGCAGGTCCATGGCCCAGAGCAAAGACAAGGAGGACAAAAACAGGTCTGGGAAATCTGGGAAGGACAACTCTCCGCCTAAAGAGGAGCGTGAGTCATTTGCCGACTCCAGCAAGAAGTCGTCCAAAATCGCCAGCCTCATCCCCAAAGGAGGGAAGTCATCATCGGGAAAGAAAGATGGTGGTGCCTCCTCGGCTTCCACTGGCATCCCAAAGCCAGGACTTAAAGCTCCCTCCACAACAACGGCAAAGCCTCAGGGTCAGTCCCAGACCCAAAACCAGGCCGCCTTAAACAGCAGCGGCAACATGCGGGCAGGAGAGGGGGAGAGAGCCAAGATGACTAAAGGAGGACAAGGTGGGAGTTTTTACATACAGCGCTCCACTGGTGGCCCAGAGGGCAAACGGACCAGCATGACCTCGTCCACCAGCACCTCAGCTCTGTCCGGGTCCAGCGGGATGCTCGGAGGAGGAGGAGGAGGTGGAGGTGGAGGTGGAGGCGCACTCGGAGGAAATGGAGTAGTTCAGCTTCCTCAGCAGCAGCAGCACAACCACCCCAATACTGCCACGGTGGCCCCCTTCATGTACAGGTGAGATGTCTGTGTGCACTACCATCCATAAGATGCTAACAAAAGGATCAAAGCTGTGTGTCTCCCACGCATTTTTTCCATGAGAGGTCACTATGTTTAACACTTTACCTGAAGTCACACCTGCACACATTCAGACACACATCACTCACTCACACCCCATAAAATCTTGGAGTTCTCCCAGTGATCAGCTGGTGCTCCCCACTGTGCATCTTGCTCTCGCCTCCACATCTCCTCACAGTCATTACAGAACAGACTAACATCCACTGCCTGCTGCTTGCCAAAGCCTATTATTTAACTGTCTGGGATTCATCTTTGATGTGAGAATCCAGACACTGGCAGCATTCAAGAACCTTTTCCCCTTCTCCTCATTCAGCCAACATTGTTTTGATGCATGCAGCTGGCGCATGGTTCCCTGATGTTACAGCCATCAGAGGTGCAGGAAGTGAGTAAATCCGGAGCAAAGAAATAGAAAAGCCGCCAAAGTCTCTGGAAAGCCTTTGTGCTTGGAGAGAAAGGGAGTTAGGAATCCCATTAAACAAGACTTAATCCTTCACCCCTTCTCCCTCTCTCAACTACCTCCTCTGTCGTGCACAGTCAGCTCTGCCTCTTTCGAGCATTAGTAATACTTTAATCCCACACATTTAACAAGTTGCTGTGGCTATCAGTCCTGGGCAGATAGTGAATGATAGTCAGCTACGAAGAAGGCAACCAAAACTGAATCTGTAAAAACACAGGCAACCCACTCAGCGAGCAAAAACTAAACTGAGAAACAGTGAGTGTAGATGAAAGTGGATGTACCATCTGTGATGTCACACACCGGTTTATGAAGCTCAGACTTCTGCTTAATGCTTGCTTCCATCTTGGTCAGTAATTGGAGCTAGAAAATCCAAATTTGGCTGTGAGTGAAGTTAACATACTTTACATCTGCTCCTTGCTATGTCGCTCACTGTTTTTTTGTTTTGTGTTAAATCATTTACAAAAACACATACACGACCTCGCCGAAGAGTTTCACTTTGTGGGGAATCAGGTCACTGATTTTGCACCGGAAAGAAAACAAATATGAACAATTATTTCTGATAAATTATATTTCAAACTCTCAAATATCTGACAGGAGTTGACCTGCAGAGTCAGTTGACATTTACTAGTAGAGCATTAAACCTTAGCTACGCTCCCTTGCGGACACACACATGGACACGTATAGTTGTTATTATTATACTACTATTTAGTCTCCTTAGAGGATTCTGTTCCACATATGCACAGTAGGTTTGCATCTACATATTCAGCACTACTGTTGAGTGTATGGGCTACTGCCTTTCTAGCGTAGCTGCTGCTCCAAGTATCCACATGATCTCTCGTGGACAAAATTTACATTATGTGGATCTTCCTGCACTCATAGATGCTAAAAATAAGACACTGGCCTTACAGGTTTCACTGGCAGTGAAAAGTTTATCTGTGCAAGTACAGAATTATCAGTGGGTAAATAAGGGACAGCATACTACTTGGTGAGCTGTCATGGCTGACAAGCTAGTTGCTAACATGTTCCTGAGCCAGGAAGATGGAAGCGCTAGTCATTCTCAGTGGCTCTCTTCTATTTTTTCCTGTACAGGCAGCCTGGGATTTTGCTTTTAGGATTAAACTGCAATTAATTCAATAAAGAGTTTTTGAAGGAGCAAGCTTGCCTGTGAAAAACACTGTTGCAGACTTATTTCACACCCATGAGGGAATACACAGACTCTTCCATTGAAATAACCTGATTTTGTCTTCGAATTTTGCAGTGACGAAGCCTGTGGGCAGTCATTTTCACACAATAAATAATAATGACTTTAAACTAATCCACTGGTGGTGAATCAGGTCTTGCCTTTGAGGTACAGTGCAGATTTGCGTCCCCCCAATACCTTTTGTCTCTGTTCCTAGATATATCCCTATGGGGAAGTTTCTGCAGCTTCTATCTTCATCCTCCCCTTTCTATTTATTGTTCCTCTCCACCAGTAGGCCTCACCCGAAGCTGTCAGCGCACGCACAATAAGTGTGAAGGCCTCCTGCTGTGCTGCAATTCACCATCATTTTTGGCCCAATTAAGCATCCTCCTCTTGTTTGGTTTTTCTTTCTCCGCCCACTGTACCTTCGTGTCTCTGCCAAGCTTAACAGACCAGAGTAGTTGTAAGATTTTGCTGCCCTTGGAATGTGGAATTGATTTGCCCCCACCCGCCTACACACACACATTCACACACATACAAAGAGTTTGCAGTGTCAATAACTGCATCCCCTGTGTTTTCCTCTGCTCCCATAACCTAAGGTGACCTGGCTGGTTCAAAACAAATCTGGAGTGATAGAAATACTACAGTGGTACATAAAAGTTTAGTCTATTGGTCGGTCGTTATTTACTACAGATCATGTGTCAATCAAGCAATGTGGATGGTGATGTGACATTCCCCGCCTTGGATTATCTCTTGACAGCACAAAATACGGAGACACTTCTTCACAAAAGTGCTACATTTTCAATCAGCAGCAGCAGACTTTCCTTTTGAAAATAACAAAATAAATTTTTGGTACATGACAATTTATTTCCCACACCTTTTTCTATATGTCCAATCTCTTATTTTGGGTCCATATTGTTCTCTGCAGCAGTGGGAGTGAATATCTCCGTCTCTGTCTTTGTGAATCCACTGAGGTGAAGGAAGCTTGCAGGAAGAAAAAAAAAAGCTTTTTCTCATGAGCTGAAGTCACAGGCTGATGCTACTGTCGCAATAGGAAGCCAATTTTTATCTGCAGCTCTGCAGGTGGTGGTGGTCCCTGGTGTGTGTGTGTGTGTGTATGTGTGTGTGTGTGTGCAGCGTGTGTGCGGGAAAACGCTATTCAGTACCGTGCGCTTAGATCTGTCTGTGCTTCGGTCTGTGCATGCTTGTGTGTCTGCTTGTTTTAATTTTCTCAGTTTCTGCATGCAAGTTTCACTGTGTGTATTTCAGGATTTTTATGTAGTCTGGATGCTTGTCGTTGTGCATGCTTACATGAGCGTGCGTTTCGTTGTGTTTGTATGCGTATATGCAGTCACTGTCTGTTACTGTGTTTATCTATGTCACCATTAATCTGTTTCTGTGTTCGTACATGCATGGTTTTGTGTTTCCTCGTAGTTGCGACTGTGTATGTGTGTGTATGACTCTGTGTTATCCCAGGAAGTGTGTTGGACTCTATCCTTGTTTCTTTAGATCAGCAAACAAACAGTGGAGCGTGATGCAGCATAGTATTGAAGAGGAGGAGGAGGAGGATGCACACAAACACATATTTAATGCACTTTCCCCACACACACACACACACACACACACACACACACAGAAGCACTTGCAGAAAATGTCTCATGAGACCATCCCCTCCCATTTGAGATGTCCATCTGTTGAATATCGAACTTAGACTAAAATCTGTCTCGGAAATTCAACTCTTTTCTTACGTAACATCACAGAAACACAGACTAAGCGCACAGGAGGGAAAATTCTGGCTGCTACTCTAAAACAAAGCCATAAAATCTTTTAGTTACTGGCCTTTTTAACCCCAACATTTCAACAAATGTGTCTGCTTGACACACTCTTTGCACTTTCTCATTCAAGCCACTCCACAGGCTATAAAATATTTATGAGATACTTTTTTTTTTTTTAGTGTTGCAGTAGTTTTTAATGATGTTTTTAATGTTAAACTAAAACTAAATGGTGCTAATTTACAAGCAAACAGAATAATGGTTCCTCATTTAGAAAAATAACTCCACATAAGTCGAGATGGAATTTTATCCTTACAAAATGGGAGCACAAAAATGATGTTACATATACGGTAATTGTCTCCAAGGAAGGTTTAACATGACAAATATTGTGTAATTTATTACCTTGACATATATTTACAAAAGCTGATCTGAATCAATCCACATTCGAACCACAATCTGTAACCCCACCTTGAAAAATAGTTTGTTTTTCAAAGTTCTCAGCATATGGATTAACAATATGGTTTACAACTCATTTAGACATGTTGAGTTTCACTAGAAAACACTTTGAAACAGTTGAAGAGTAGAGGAAGGACTCCATGGCTGTAGTTTGTAGGCGCTTGAATTTAGCATATGTTGCAGTCTGTCTTTATAACTGCTGTGTACTATTTGTTCTTTGTTGCCTCCAGGACATTCTCAGAAAATGACTGCACCATGGTGGCCCCAGCCGACCCCTGCCTCAGCCCCACCAAGGGAGAGCTCGTCTACAGCAAGACAGCCAAACAGTGCCTGGAGGAGATATCAGGTACAGAAGGTCAACACATATGCTGTGGGATCTGCATAGATGCTATTTCTCTGTGTGGGTGTGTGAATGCGGACATGCATCATTACATTAACATTTGTCCTTTTAAATATTGGTTATGGGGGAATCTAACCTTCCTCCGCAGTTCGGTATCTGTGTTTGTTCAATGTTGACCTGCAATTCTGCACAACACGTGAAAGGAATTGGTGAGAAAATTGGATTTTCCTTCATTAGGAAATGAAAAATTGAGTTTGCTCGGATGAAAATTGTTGTGTTACATCATGGATTAGATGTTCTTTGTACCATTTATGCTGCAGGGTCTGTTAATAGAGTATAGGTGAAAAATAGCAGCTGGATTAGAGCGCTTTTGAAGGCTACCGCTGTGGTTAGTACTGGCGTTGCGCGAGTGTGTTCCCAGTGAGTGCGTATGTGCTGACGTGAGTGTGTTTTGTGTTTACTGGGGGGATTCCTGTTCCACGCTGATTTCATGTAGTGAAGGGAAAAGGTCAGCGCTGACAGCTGGACACAGGGAGCATCTGTGGCTCTGTGTTTACATCCCTGCAGGCTGCCATCATCTGTTACAATCCCAGTGCTGCATCACCACCAGTCACCATGGCACATTATCATCAGTACATACACAGGATTTACCATGTTTAGTCTGAGCAGAGGGAGGGCTTTTGTGAAGTATCACAAATTCTCTACAAAACCCCAAGAGAGGACTTTAGCTCAGATAACAGAACTATATCCAAGTTGAAGAGGGTCTGTAACCCAACTGTTTGAGTTATGGGTTTCACACCTTCATAACCTAAAATGAGGCAATAAAAACTGGGGAGAGCAGCCGTGTTAAGCCATATAACAAATAAGAACCTGCTTATAAACAGTTAGTAACTATGAAGATAGATGTTTACAGTCTAATTCAATGGGGCTGAGCAATGTAGCTGAAACATTTCTCACAGTGAAATGTTTAATTCATTGTCAATAATTATCAATCAGTTCTCATGACCTGATTTATTGTGAGTTTAACCTTCCTGCTTTGAATTTTACCCCTTTTGCCTGTTTATCAAGGTAGACAGATAATTATTTAATGTCAGCACAATAATGAAAAGCACACACGTATCAATACATTTACTCACATGAATAATAAATAAAGGTAGAAGAATGATCTCACCTTGATACGCATTAAAGAAAGAAAGCCAGTAAAGCTTGGAGGCACTCAGAGGGCGACCAGGGCAAGGCTGCCTCACCACACTGAGGTTAAGGTTCCAGTACTGAGTGCCTCAGAGCAGCTGTCGGGAGTGTGGCGCTCTGGTGGAGGCGGCGACAGGGTTTTGGGATGGGGAAACCCGTCTCCCAGGGGCTTGCATGGATGCCACGGGGGAGAGAAACATGAGCTGAAGGGATATAGTAGGCTGTTTATTGGCCAGGGATCATCGAGGCCTAATATTAAACTATCGCTGTAATCACAAATACACAATTGCAAACTGCAGGTGAAATCTTGTTCTTTTGCAAAAAGAGAAGTCTGCAAACGTCTTCATTGTCTTTTAATTACAGCACAGTGTAAGTCTGTGCATTTGAACTTCTGCAGCTGCGAGTTCAGCATCGAGGGACATCTGACCAGTTTAAAGGAGTTTCTAACCGCAAACTTAAATTCCTAACAAGCAGCAGAATGAGAGGTTAAACCAGGGAACACACCATCAAAACACAAACCGCTGGCACACACCAGTTCCATTGTTTCACTTGCCTTATGCCAGCTGCAAACGAAGAGTTCACTGTCACACTGTCACTCTTTTTACTTTAAATGTCATTGTTCATCACGGAAGGGCTTTTCTGGTTTGTTCTGGTTCTTATTATTGTGACACTGATTTTGTTTCTGAGGATCCTTCCAAAAGAGAATTGGGTTTGATATTTTCGAGGTCATTTGATGTAAACGTGTTCATTTGGAATTGAACCTCTTACCTTCTGTGTAATGATAGAAAAAGTAGAGGTCAGATAAATCAAACATAAGACTAAAACAATGCAAAGTAAGACGTCAAGTTCAAAGTGAACTCTACAAAGCCCAGCGTGCACAAACAACACCGTGTGATTATAGGTTTGGGGATGTCAGGTCGACAGCAACATTCCAGACATTTTGCTTTGGCCGCGGCTTTTCCAAAGCCCATCATTTAGCGGATAAAATTAGACTTCAGCGCTGGACACTCTCTTTGTTTGGGGTCCATTTCAAACACTTGCTTTTCGCTGTTACACGTTTCATGGTCATCTCGCATCCTTCGTTTTTCCGACTCTTTCGCCATAGAGGGGCAGAAATGAGACTCTGAGAAAGAAATTCAAGTGTATGCATACCACAAACCACATGACAAGCCTACTCATTTTACGTACACATCTGAGCCAGTGTCATCAAACTAACATCAAAGCAGCCCAAATTTAAAGTCCTGATTGACATGTTGATTTTTAAGCTTAATTGTGTGCATTTATATATATTTTTAAATAATGCTAACATCTAGAATAGTCCCCCACAGTGATTATGATCACCGTGATTGCCGTTTCTGAGGCAACTGCTTCCACTGTCTTCTATCAGTCAGTATCCAGCATAAGAGAATGTGTGGAAGACAGCTGTGACTAATAGAGACGGGGCTAATAACGCTCGCATTGATTGATGGGAATATGTTGGCTCTGTGGTCTCATTGTTGATCCATGACAAGCTGCGGGCTCGCTGCTTTAGCTCCTCAAGATAGCATTTAATTAAGTCGGGCGGTCAGAGTGGTGCAGCAGGGGCTGCAAGCTTACAGGTGCACTGTCCAAACAACTCACTGTCACACTGAGATGGAGAGACGCTAAGAGAGAGAGAGTGGAGGAGAAAAAGATAAAGGCTCGTAAGAAGTGAACAGAAAGTGAGAGAATCAGAGGGATTAAGAGAAAGAGAGAGTGATAAACAGAGGGGGGCTAACGGGGAGAGAGAGAGAGAGAGAGAGAGGGAGAGAGAGGGAATACTGCAGGCTGAATGCTGGAATGAACAGGCAGACCGAGGGCTGTGTGAGTCTGTTTGCCGGCTCCACCGCCCGTTCATTCTCCGCTGTGAGGAGAGAGGAACCGTCAGAGAGTCAGAGGGAAGGCAGCAGAAGTGTGGCAGCGAGGTGGTAATTAAAGGAGGAGACAAAGTGGAAGGAAATAGATAAGAGTGAATGAAAAGAGACTGTCATTTAATAGGGGGAAAAGATAAAGAGTGTGAGCGCAGGAGGGAGAGAGGAACGTGTGAGGCACAGGAGATGTAGCGACTCATTCATCCACGCCCCTCACTGTGGTGAAGCAAGAGAAAAGGAGCCAAGAAGACAGAGAGACAGCATGCGGACAGGAGAAGGAGTGGAAGAAATAAGTGTTTGTGTCTGGCTCAGCGTCTGACCATGAGTATGGGCTGGCTCGAGGATGGATCTGGATTTTACCTACATGGCTGAGAGGGAGGATTTCTCTCCACTCGTCCCCCTGTGCTCGCTTTCCCTCCAGCCCACTGAAGCCTGGACCTCAGTCGGGAGGCGTGGGACTCTGGGACCCATCTCTTTGCTGTTCTCCGGTGCTCCCTTCCCTCCATCTGCTCTCTCAGTGACAGTGCAGCCAAGATGTGAAGCAGAGAGGCACGCACAGGTAGATCCACTCGCATGCATAGTTTCAGTCACTGAGGCACCGGTGGTAAAGAGGTAAGCCGAAAAAAGGGAGGGAAGCTGCGAGCAGAGATGAAGAGAGGAGCAGAGTTCTCAGTGTACCAGGGAGGAAGCCCAGCCCGACGGCCTCCCCAGCCTCTCCCCGACAACCTCAACCTGCGGATCAAGCAACGATCTCTCACTAACCTGACCCTGCTCAGCGATGGCGAGCAGCGGGTTTACTCCTTTGAGCTTGATGAGCCACCATCTCGCCTTTCCCAACCTCAGAATTCTTCGTTGTACTCATCTTCCACACAGAGGGCAGGAGGTAGTCTGCAGGGAAGCCCCAGGAAGGAGGCGGTCACAAGGGGCGGAGGTGTAAGGGGCACCAGAGCTCGATCCCTGTCACTCTCCCTAACTAAGGTGCTTTCTCAGTCAGAGCATTCCCTCATCCCGGTCCCTTGGCGATGCACAGCGGCAGGTGGGCGGCCACAGCGGGCGTCATACAGCGGCCACCCAAGGACTGAGTCACAGCGGAGGTCCAGGGAGGTGGTGGGAACGGATGAAGACGGCAGCAGTGGACGGTCAGACGAGGAGGCAGTGGCAGGCAGGGGAGGTGGGAAGCAGGGAGGAAGGGAGAAAGACGGAGGGTATTGGGCAGAGGAGGAGGTTTCAGGGGGAGGTCCTCGTGAGGGAACAGCTCAGCTGGATAAGGAGGTGATTCTCACCATGCTGGGCGACCTGGAGCAGGTGCTGCAAACCCAACCTCGCCCACGTAAGTTAACACTCACAAGTCTGAGAATGACTCCAAAAATGAACACATATGTGTTGCATATTTCACATACAGTTTGTGGTTTGCATACGTCCAACATGAGAGGATTATAAAGGCAGCAGTACAAATGAGAAACTTTGCACTGGAAATGTAAAAAATCATGTTAATGTTGAGTTTTGTGCACAATCTGACAATGTGAGAACAGAAAATACCTTCCATAAGCTGGTTATTTTCTTAATCCTCATGATAGGGAAATGTGCTTCTCAGAGCACATTATTTGCATTTTAAGACATTATTTAAAGGAAATGTGTGAAAATAGGCTATTAAAGTACAGGCAGCCTCCTTCCTGTAGTTCATACATGAACACACTCGCACACAGTTGTTGTTGATTTACACAACCACACATATAAAAGGTAACTTTTACACACCATTTCTGTCACTTGCATTCACTATGCCCCAGTGTGCAAAGAAGGTATACAGTTGTGTGTGCTGAATCCTTAAATGCTGTCGTGTGAATTTAGCAGTCTAACCTGGTCCCATGCTATTCTTCAGCACTAGTGCTGTAGCACCTGGGAGATCTCACTATTTGCGTGTGTTTAATCTGACTTTTCCATTTGTACGATAAGCTCTAACCCCACTTTGTGCTTTTGGAATGAGCCTCCACGTATGAACCTGTCTTTGATGTAAGGACCATTTCTTATGCAGCTGTGACAGTAGAGACGCTTATTGTGACTGTACAGATAAAGTAAAACGCATAACAGAGCAGGGTGAGCGCGAGGAATGAGCAGATTTTTGCTGATTTCCTTTGAGCAGGTGCAGGCATGATGCAGCATTAAACAGAAATACCTTGAGAGACAGATAATGTAAAGGCAACACCTCCTCCAGTGAAACAGCACAGTTTTTATGACTTGCACCTCCCTCGCGCAGCCTGTGAATCACACAGTCTATGTGATCAATAGCTCATTATTACGCCTTTCATCCTGTGTTAATGTGTCCAGGCTTATCTGCGGGATGTGTGTTCATACAGGTGTGTGTTTTGTTGTTGTTTTTTTCCTTTTTGCGTGCATACATGGCTCCATGTGTTTATGCATGCATTTGTATGTGTACATCCAACATCTATCCAGATACTTGAGACACCATTCACATCATTAGAGAACTCTTTCACCCTGTCAAAGTTGGCTTTCAGAGTCTCCTGCTGCCGTTGTGGCAGTTTGCACGTTTAGCCTCAAGGAACAGTTGTCGCTGATACATATTAACAAGCTCGCAATGTGCTGCAACGCCTGCTAGCGCACACATTCAGCAACAGGGCCGTAAAATTACATGTGGATACTTCTATCAGTGTGTGTGAGAGGTGTCAGTGACAGGCCAGCTTTATGTAGGCAACACACTGCTGCAACCAGAGTATAAGCAGCATACAGTTATGTCTAAATGTGTGTTTCCCTGCGTGTATGTGGGTTGGCATGCATGCATTTGTGTGTATTATAATTCCATGACCGGGATGGTTCCCTAATAGCGTTCAGCTAGAGCGAGGGGGCATCAGTACCAGCTAGCATGCATTATTGAAAGAGAGGGGGAGAGAGTGTGAACTGGCATGTAAGCACAGACTGGTACAGTACAGTATGTGTGTGGGTGTGCGTGTGTGTTTGTGCTGGAGTGTGTCTAGGAATGCGTCAGTTCCAAACAGCAGCCATTTGCATTATGTTGTGTCAACTCTATTTCAAGCAGCATTTGTTCAACACCCCGCGAGCCTGCATCTAAGTGTGTGAATCTATGTGTGTTGCTTCCCCTCCTGCCCTTTTCAACTCCACCCCCTCACACCACACACACACACACACACACACACACACATTGGCCTGGGCTCCGTTTGGCTGCTTCCCCTTCTCACCAGGCCAAGATCTGGACATCAGCTTGAATCCAAATGAATGCTTTGTGGCTTCTCACCTCTCTGTTAGTGTTGAATACTGCAGTGGCAACAGCAGCTACGAATGTGCATAAGCAGCTACTACATTAGGTCATTAGGTGCAAGGGATTTAACTACACACATGTCTGCTGCTCCTCCTGATCCACCAAAGAGCGCTGAGCTGGTAAATTGCTTACAGTTATTATGTTTTGGAAAGAATATTAGTTTCCTAATGCTGAAAGCCTCCAACGTGTGTAATTTGTCAGTTTGCCTTTGGGATGCGGTTGTGTTGCATTCCGCTCACCTAATGTTCAGGTGAGACCTCTGCAGCTACATCGCAGATCGCGCTCATGTGATAAACGTAAATGCACACACATTGGCTGCTTCTCAATGCTACACCAAGTATCCGCTCATGACAGAGACTCTGGGGCCAGATCTCCTCATGTCTCTTCATAATGGGATTGTAATTGGATCTTTCTCGAAGGAGCCCTGGTGAGAGGAGGAGGGATGGATAGCAGAGAGGACACGAGAAAAGGAAGAGTTACAGGGAAAAAGAAACTCAGATGGTGGTAGTGCTTTAAGTTTGTGGCACCGGGTTATCCATCTTCCATTAAGCTCATGAACTGGTCGTCATCTCTTTAAGGAGCTGCAACCTGCTGAAATGTGGCCCGGCATGACATCCTGGGCTTCAGCTGAGCGTTTAATGTCTCAGAAAGTGTTTCATCCTGGCAGGGATGAATTCAGGGCGCAGAAGCCTTTATGCGTTGGCAGTGAGCATAATATAGTAACCGATATTTCTTATTTTCCAGCAATTTTAGTGCAAGATAATATATTGATACCTGATTTGTAATTAGCAGCCATAAAGTGAACATTAGACATGGGGGCAGAGGTTAAGAACCACACTGACCTTTCATAACCTTCAGTCTGTGTGCTCTGCAAAGACAAAACATGACCTCAATTATACTAGACTGCTCTTTACTCTGCCGGGTCATTGCACTGCACTGTGCAGTATAATTGAGGTCGAGCCTTGACTTATTTTGGAAAAAAAAAAGCTGTGAACTCAGACATTGTGGTGTAGAGTCTTCGAACAGTCTCGAAGATTGGACAGTGTGACTTAGACAATGTTAACCTCTAATAATGCCTGTAATTGGTGGTAGGAAAAACCTTTGAATCTCATTCTTACTGCAGTAGTCTCTAGCTAGATGATTCTAGCTTTTCTTGGTTTATTCATTGGCATTTTAAAGCCTTTTAAGAACAGATGCCTGTAGTGAATGAAGATTAGGTTCATTTGCGCCTGTGCTGTGTGCTTTTGTAACTCACTGATTAAACCTTTTTTTTTTTTTTTAACAATGTCTCTCTACAAAGGAGACGTGGCCTTAACAACTGTGTCCGCTATGACAGCATGTATAGCATATGTAACACAACACAAATAGTTTATATTATATATTGTATGTACATCTGCAATAATAGTAGGATCAGATACAAAGATAGAATAACCTCGAAGAAGTTATTCCCTCCTTTGAATAAATCCAGTGACGTCTGCAGTTGTGTTGTTCCTGCTAAACCAGGAGACTCTAACAATGCGCATTGTCACAGAGCATACACTAAAACAGGAAGACTGGTGTCACTTTGCAAGATCAGCTACATCTGGGCAATGTTGTGGAAGTCTGTTCAAATCCAATCATTTCTTTCAGTGTTAGAGCGAAAGACTGGTTCTGAAAAAAGACAGACCTCCGTCCTGCAAACTGCAGGATGTTTTTCAAATGACATGTTTACAGCATTACTGCCAGAAAGTTTATCCAAATGCCTTGAGGTCAACTCTGAAATTGATTTTTATGTATCTATAGCTACCCAGGGAAACTGGCTTGGCATTTCTGCTTGTTTTGAATGCAGTTCTGCTTCAAATTGCAATATATAAACATGTCAAATCTTTTTTCTGCCCCTGGCACTGAGCTGCGCCACAGGAGTCGCTGGGGGCTTTTTCAAACCTCCAACTTACTGCAGCACCCATCTTCTCTCATTTGCCCCAGTCACTGTAATCACAGTCGCTTGCTGTCGATATGTCTGCTCAGAACACCGAAATCAGCACAGAGAGCACAACTTCTTGCACACGGCTTACCATCACACTGCATTGTAGACAGTTTTCCTCTGAAAGCACCTTAAAACTAGAAAGCATTGTGACCGCCATCCATTCTGTGTCTCCTGCCACTTGTTAATTACCCATTCTGTGGTACCCGCCCACGGATATAGGCTAGCTTGACAAGCTAACAGAGAGCCTTAATTGGAGCAGACAAGCAGATACTTTGGTGTGCACCCACCGCTCGCAGTTGTGAAATGTTGCCCACTCTCTGCTTATTAGCAGCACTCCTTTAGAATAGGCCTATTGCTTGAGTGAAGCAAGAGCTTCATCTCTAAACCAGGCACTAAGAAGAACTTAAACCATATGAAGTGCTTTCTTTGCTGTCTGCAGGCTGAGGTAGGGAGATGGCAGCATTCTCCAACATGCCTGACAGAGAGGCACAAAGAATCTGACACAGTTTCCTTTTGCAGCACGACTTTGTCCCAAACTAACTGACAGATCGCGTGGTGTCATGGCATGGCATTTCTGCATCAGCCTGAAGGAAAAATGTCAATACTGCATAAAATAATGTATCCACTTTTTAAAGTAGAAGAAGTGCATGTGGTGCAGCCTGACAGGCTGATTTATTGTATCGGCTCCAAATTGTCCAAAGGGGGTTAGGGGCATTCACCCTTGCTGGCTGTCATCGTGATCAGTCATCATTCTGTTCCTCCTGCTGAGACTTTCAGTGGCATCCAGTGAAATACTATATGTCAGATGTCTTCATCACTTCCTATATTTTGCGGTGGTGTGTGTTGTTAAGAGTGTGTATGCAGGTCCAAGCATCTCAGTAAATCACATGAACTGTGTGTCTGCAGGAGAGGACCCTGAGACAAGACGTATGAGGACAGTGAAGAACATCGCTGACCTGCGGCAGAACCTGGAAGAAACCATGTCCAGTCTACGGGGGACACAGATCAGTCACAGGTAGGTTTACAGATGGTACGGCCCTTTTCTTATTGGTAAGGGTACCCGACTGATTTTCTTCTTAGCAAAGTGAAGAAAGTGCAGTGATGAATCTGTTGGAATATTATTTGGACCGCGGGCATATGGCGAAAGGCACAACAAGCAATCGATTCTAATTTTTGAGAACAAACAGCACGGCTATTTCTGGGTATTAGTCAGTCTGTTGTAATCTGCTTCCATGTACAATCTTTTTTTTTTTTTTGTCTTGCAGCCAAATGTAAAAACTGCTTTAATCTACTTCGACTTAATTATTTCTATTGCACTTTCTCTGGCATGAGAAAATTGTTATTGTTGCTGTTTTGTTTTTGACCACTTCCACCCAGTTGGCTTCAAAGATTTGACGCCCTTCTTGGCCTTCTGCAAGCATCATGCAGCTTTAATCAGACATTGTTTTAGAACTGAATCAAATGCAGAGAAAACCCACTTGGTTGCCAGGGGTTATTTTAAGACACCCATACCTTTGGCCATTGCAGCATAGAGTCAGTTTAAGGAGATTAGTGATACACTTCCATCTACAGCTCACTATTTATCTGAGGGACAATAGAACGGTTAGATCATTAGATTTGAACTGTTTGAGTGACACTGCTCAATTACGAGGAAGTTAGTTAAACTCTCACCAGCCTTGTATGTAGTGTTTGTCTAGTCCTTTAAAGAGCCCATATTATGTACGAATAAGATATTTCAGGTAGGTTAGAAGCAGCGTTTTCATTGAGAGGTAGTAGTTCCCTTTGGGGTGGATTTTGTGTTTTGCATGCTTGCAGACTTTGTATGTGCACAAAAAAAAGTAAACAGAAAAATCCAAAAAACAGTCCATTTATCCAGCTGAGCTCTTTAAACCTACACTTACTTTTTTGGCCAATGGAGCAAGCTTAATAAATGTAGATATTGAAGTTCTCTCTACTTTTAATTCTCTTGATGGATTATAATTAAATAATATCAATATTAATTAAAGCTCCGGAGGGAAATATATTGCTCTTTAGCCAATAAATGCTGCTCTGTGTTCCCTAGCTTGTTGTTCAGTTTTTCAGTCTAATGTTTGGTACTGAGCAGGCAGAGTGTGAGGAGTTTATCAGAGGGTTTTCACTGAAAGCATCTTTCAACTGCATCTAGAAACATCACTGATGCGTTATCACCTGCCTAGTCTCGCATAACCACCCCTATCTCCACAGCAGCATTGTGTTAGTGTTGAAGAATGGTCTGGCTGCACCTCTTAATCATTCTGCTATAGGTGGAAAAAGAAGAATTTTGACAAGGGTAACATGTAGATTGCAGAAGGGGAGGAAAAAGATGCATTAAAAGGCACGGCAGGAGGCTTATACCCAGTAAGTGAGACTATCACCTAGCCAGCAGCAGAAATATCTTCTGCACAGTGATGATGGAATAAAAGTACAGGCAGGAAAATACAATCTGGAGCTGAAAAATGATATAACACCTCATAGAGCTGAGGAGGTTGCATAGTCGTGGGTTTGCCTCTTCCTACCTGAGAGCTGCAGCATCTTTCACTGCCTGTTTTCATACTCTCCATGTTCCACGTCTGAGGCTGAGACAACTTCCGTAAAATGCGTCATGGCCTAAACAAAAGGCACACACTATTCTGTAGACCCACAATTGTCACGACAACTAAAAATACCCAAAAAGTAGGAAAAAATGCTTCCTTTGTGGTCACAGCTTAATATCTCAGCTCCACTTATCTAAGTCAGTTTCCTTGTGCATCAATTATCCTTGGCAAATAAAGGCAGTTCTGATTTTGATATCTCTGAGTCACCCTGCGCAGTTTATCACGCTGATCCAACAGGGAGATATGTCTCCAACTATTAATGATGTTCCCTCTATTACCATACCATCTCATCCTCCACGTTTCCTGGATTTAATTAAAAGCAGGCGTCACCTTCCTCACCAGCTGGCACACATGTAATGACATTCAGGGTTTGATGGACAACCAGCACCTTAAAAGACTGTCCCATCTGTGAGCCATGGGCAACATGAGGAATCTAACAACGGAGTGAAAGGGCTGCAGCTCAGGCGAAGACAAAATGATAACCACTGGTTTATGTCAGCTCCCCGGGCGATGCTTCCCTGCTCGCCTTTCTCCTTCTCCCTCAGTCTATTATTTTGTGTGTTTTGCCCCATTTACAGAGGAAGATGGTGGCCAGGCTGCCGACAGCCATGACAGATGGCAGTCCATGTGTGTGCATGTGTGTGTTTGTTTTCGACTTCTTTATTCCTCAGAGGAGTCTCAGCCAGGCACGATCAATAGAGCACCATTGTCTTACCACTACATTACATCCACTGAGACCCATTGGGTTGGGGCGTGAAGGCTTTGATTGGTCTTAGGACGCAAGTCTCATTGACATGCATTAGACGCACAAGGACAGTCAACATGAAGTATGTGGAAAATGCATCATCATACCTCTGTGTGTGTGTGTGTGTGTGTGTGTGTGTGTGTGTCTGTGTGTGTGTGTGTGTGTGTGTGTGAGAGTGGGAGCAGTAAGAATTAAGCATTGGTCTAAGATGGCAGCAGCTCCAGTGAAACTGCATGGGTCGCTGCACAGTTTTTAGATTTAATGTTAAAAGGGACAGTGAGCTCCTGGATGTGTGCCTGTGTTGGACGTGTTTATATTCTGAATGTAAGGAGAGCCTCGGCGTATGCATGCCAGTTCCGCTCATGACAGAACCCCGGCCAGGCCATCTTAATCTCTCTCTACGATAAGAAATGGTTGTAATCACCATGAAGCTGTGAGGCACCTTAGGTAATTAATCACTGTTACGCTCGAGTAAACATGACTGTCATATTCATCACCCTGTCCTTCTCGCTGCTTCCTCTTTGGGATTCTCCTTTTATGCCTGTTTGTACCCCAACCATACAGACAGCATGACCAAACAGCTAGTGTTAGCCAGCGAACACATGAAACTGTAAAATTAGCTTAAAGGCAAAGCCAGCATGTCTCGACAGGAGAAATAAAAAAGGTAGTTTAGGAGAAAACTGGCAGTGAGAGTGAGAGGAATGGTCAAATCTAAACTTAATAATGTGCAAAATATCCAAAAAAAAAATTCTCCAAAATCACTACGTACACCTCTTTGCGTCTTTGTTAAAAAGTAACTACAATTAAAAAACTGAACTTTTCATCTTGTCAGGGAGAATAAAAAATGTCATGTTACCTCAAAATATTCTGTCTCTGGGCCCGCCACTTTAGCTCACCTGGTTGAGCTGGTGACCCATGTACAGGGGCTATAGTCCCCGATACAGGGGGCCATGGGTTCCAATCCTGCTCATGGCCCTTTGCTGCAACCCCTTCCCCCATTCTCCTCCCCCACTTTCCTGTCTCTGTTTCAACTGTACTATCCAATAAAGGCAAAAAGGCCAAAAAAATAACTTTAAAAAAATAAAAATAAAAATACTTCATCTCTTATGCTCTGTATTTGCTTTGTCTCCCGAAAATTACATTCCTGCACAATGATAAATTCCATTTCCAATTGCACTTTGAGGGAAATGTATTTTCAATCATATGGAGCGTGACCCATCACCCTGGTAGCCCAGAAAATGGAGGAGAAACCTAAAACATGCAGTGAAAGGTTCGTAATTTCACCCAAATCCTGCTGTTTTCCAAAACCCAACAAATAGGTTTGGTTTCTAAACTTAGCCAAGCTTCCAAGAAGTACTTGTTGTTGGGAACGTGTCAACCACAGCATTATATTTTCCTAAACCTAACCATGTAGGTTTTGTGCCTTAACCTATCCAAACAATGAGTAAACGGAGTAAACAATGAGTGAAAACAAAACTAAGAAAATGGTCCCAAACACTTGTCTCCTGGGTAAAAATCCGTCGTCAAACCTTTCTTTCAAAGCATAAAGGAGGATGCAGTTTGGTTGTATAGGAGCATCATTTTTGTAAGACAGGGTCGTCTTTATGTAAGCGGATTTGTTAAAGCAGTACTCCCAAGATAATGATCCAGTTCTCATTCTCAAATGTCACTCCATGCAGGATCAGATTTAGCAAGAAATAGTGTTTAGTGAGTTGTCTTTTCTTTGAGATTTAGATAATAGCAGTGTTTCTATTCATTATTTCCCCCAATTTAAAGGATTTTATGGCTTTTTTATGCCCTCTGTCAGCAGCTGACATTGAAAAATGACAGGAAATGATGGAGCAGAATTGCTTCATCTGTTACCTACAAAGAAAATTTAAATCTGGAAAATGGTTGCTCTCACATCTGGGGCAGAATTTTATGGCACTTTTCAGAGAAGTGGGGCCCTTTGTTTTTACATTTGGATGCATTTGCTCATCAAATGTGTATGACATCGCCACTGTATAAATCTGATGCCTTCAAACATGGAATATATAAATACTGATGTTTTACCCATCTGTCTTGTGATAGTGCTGAAATATCCAGATATTCATCATGCAACAACCCCAAAGAGGAAACATCCAGCTCCAAATGCTGTAATTAAACCAAACTACAGTTAGCCTTCCTACAGTTGTGTGGGCAGTGTAGTGCTGTTAGAAAAAAGAAAAAAATTTGGCTTGGCTTAAAATGACAGCCCTTGTGGAACTAGCTTTTTAAAAAATCACTTTAGATACACAGAGTTTACATATCCGTTACTAATTTGATTATGTAACTCACTATTATCAGCTTTTTCCACCATAAGCTTTGTATCATCGTGTGTTGGACCACGCTGCTGCATGTCTGTGCTTCTTAGTGAGTTTTCATTTCGTATTACAACAGGCTAAAAATATAATCAGACCACAGTGAGGTGCGGCTGGCCCGGAAGCTGATGGCAGCTAATGTTACCTAAAATTATTGACCCAATCAACAAAGCTTGTCTTCAGATAGTCCATGTGGTTGAGCTCCTGTTTCTCTGTCCCCGAAACATCCGCCTTTTCTCATTCAAGTGACCTTCTTTGCTTCCATCACGGCAGCTCCATTCGCATCCACGACATTGTTCAAAGATTCAAATGTGTCAAG